CTTAGCGCCGATCTTGTGTGCAATTGATATCTAGTTTCAACTACTCTATTTATCTTGTATCTTGCAGTATTCAAACACGCTAACTCGAAAAACTAACTTTAATTGTCCTGTTTGTCTCGCGTTCTTTCGAAAAATGCACCGGCCGCGCATTATTTGTACTGCGAAAATAATTGGTACTGCGGTATCTTCATTTCATATTTTAAAAATGCACCTTTGCTGCTTTTCCTTAATTTTTAGACGGCCCGCAGGTTCGTTTTGCGGTACTATCTTGTGATAAAAAGTTGTTTTGACATGTGATCTGCACAGATTTTATAATGTAATAAGCAAGAATACATTATCAAACGAACAATACTGGTAAAAGAAAACCAAAATGGACGACATTGAAACAGCCAAGAATCTGACGGTAAAAGCACGTACAGCTTATAGCGTCTGGGATGTATGTCGGCTGTTTATTGAAATGATTGCTCCTGATGTAGATATTGATATAGAGAGTAAACGTAAGTCTGATGAGCTACTCTTTCCAGGATATGTCATAAGGCCCATGGAATCTCTCACAACCGGTAGGCCGTATGGTCTTGATTCTAGCGCAGAAGATTCCAGCGTATCTTCTGACTCCAGTGCTGAGGTAATTTTGCCTGCTGCGAAGATGGTTAAGGAAAGGTTTGATTCGATTGGAAATGGTATGCTCTCTTCACAAGAAGCAAGTCAGGCTGCCATAGATTTGATGCTACAGAATAACAAGCTGTTAGACAATAGAAAGCAACTATACAAATCTATTGCTATAATAATAGGAAGATTGCCCGAGAAAGACAAGAAGAGAGCTACCGAAATGCTCATGAGAAAAATGGATTGTACACAGTTATTAGTCCCACCAGCTCCAACGGAAGAAGATGTTATGAAGCTCGTAAGCGTCGTTACCCAATTGCTTACTTTAGTTCCACCAGATCGTCAAGCTGCTTTAATAGGTGATTTATTCATCCCGGAATCTCTAAAGGATATATTCAATAGTTTCAATGAACTGGCGGCAGAGAATCGTTTACAGCAAAAAAAGAGTGAGTTGGAAGGAAGGACTGAAGTGAACCATGCTAATACAAATGAAGAAGTTCCCTCCAGGCGAACAAGAAGTAGAGACACAAATGCAAGAGGAGCATATAAATTACAAAACACCATCACTGAGGGCCCTAAAGCGGTTCCCACGAAAAAAAGGAGAGTAGCAACGAGGGTAAGGGGCAGAAAATCACGTAATACTTCTAGG